ATTCTCAACTCGCTGCCATGACTGGAGGCGAGCTTCTAAGGCGCCAGACATTAATCAACCTCCAAGATAAACGTTACGAATCTCTGAAGACAGCAAAGCGACTTATGAGAGGTTTGACTGACACCAAGTTGGGTGGTCAACTTTTGCTGTCCATCGCACAGCACAGACAATCGGCCATCTATAACGTCTCCGATGATGAGGCTCCTATCAAACTATTAGCTACGATGATTGATGATACTCAAATGATTCTTTTCCAATATCTTGATCTTCTTCGCAGCAACCTTTCAATTGAGGAGTTCGATGATCTCGTCCCAGGAATTTCCGAACTCATGAAAGATTTTGGCTTAGACCCAACACTTGCTTTTATGATCGGTCGTCCAAGTATCTCACATCGCGTCAGCAAGTTACTATCCTCAAATGCCAATGGAAATTCGAAGTCTTCACCATCATTAGTTGAGGCTGTAGCCACAGAAGTGGATGCAGAAGGTGATGTGGGTATGAACGGCGATGATCCAAACCCTGAGGTCAAGGAATCTATAGCAGTAAATGGAACATCTGCCCTGCAGGACGACGTACAGATGTCAGATGTAAAGGGAGGAGATTCGCCATCGGAAACAGCAGCAACAGAAACGGATTCGCTCCATGATTTACTTCAACCGTATATCACTACTGTTGAGGAGGTCCTGCCTGAAGGCTCTTGGGCATTTCTCACTTCTGAATTCTACGTTGTATTTTGGAGCTCTACATTGAGCGACCTGGCTATTCCTAGTCATAGCTACGAAGCCGAAATCTCCCGTCTACTCAAAGAACAAGGTGATGTAATGAAGGACCGTTCAGACATGAGTAGGGCCGGAATGGCAAGAAAAGAAGAAACTAAAAAGGCTCTGGCAACAACCAGGGAAAATTTGCTGGCAGAGTTTGGCAAACAAGTCGGGGCTTTCTCAGGGAAGAAGAGCCGTCTGCTAAAACGCAAAAACTTATGGTTTAGCAACGTGAAGGGCGATCTAGTTAGCGACTCCTTTCTTGAAAGATGCTTGTTTCCAAGATTATTGCTCTCTCCAAGCGATGCAGACTTCTCCTTCCGGATGATTAAGTTCTTACATGAGAATGGTACGCCCAACTTCCGCACCCTTTCGCTATATTCCAGGCTTTTCAGATCAAATCGCTTGAGGTCAATGATCTTTACATCTACGGTTCGTGAGGCGGAGAACTTGGGTCGTTTCTTGAGATTAGTCTTGACGGATCTGGCCCGCTGGCATGGTGATCAGGGAGTATACGAAAAAGAAGCGTGGGGAGCAAGTAAAAATCTTCCAGGTTTTGCTAAGGCTATTGATGCAGATGGGACCGTAAAGGGCCTCCTTGAGCATGATGGTGACCGTGGTTTCAAAAATATTCTGTACTCGTGGCACCAGAAGCTGAATGTGGCACTACGTGAATGTTTCGACGGAACGGAGTGGATGCATGTTCGAAACGCTATGACTATTCTCAAATCCGTTGTCGACGTATTCCCAGCGGTCAACTTCATGGGCAACAGTTTTGTGAAACAGCTCGAGACAATTGTCGCCCGGGAGAAGGGTGCACGAGAGGATCTTTCTCTTGCTGGTAATGCCATCCTGGTGCAGCTAAAGAAGAAGTCCAAGTCATGGGTGATGGTACAAGCCTTTGGTTATAGCCTGGTAAGTGAAAACTAAAATCGGTACCGAATAAGACTAACCACCTATAGGAGGCCCCTGTGCAAGCGAATAACAGCCCCTCAATAGATGCCTCTAAGCAAGGACCTGCTGTCAAAACAACTTTGAAGCCCACAGCTCCTGAGTTCAAACCCCAATCCCGAGCTAAGTAAGTGCCCATCCTTCAATCTACATACCTTAATCTAACTTCTATAAGCTCTACGGGAGCCTCTACCCCCAAAAACTTCACCACTGAGGTCGAAGACGGTGAAGTTGATGATGCAAAACTGGCTTCTGCAGCTGGCAATGGCAACATCTTGAAGGAGGCGTCTGATAATTCTAGTGTCAAGGATAAAGCATCATCGGCACCCGGTGAAGGGAGAAAGTCCGAAATATTACTGAGACGCGAGAGAATCTTGCGTGAAAATGCAGCCAGAGCTTCGGCTCCAAATCCAGCACCTGCTACCATACCTGCAAGACCTGAATTGGGGAGAAACATGCCAGCAAATCATAATCTACCCAATAGGCCTGATGCCCCCATCCCTGGTCGCCAAATGATGGATCGTCATTCCGCTAGGAATGACGATAGACGAGACACGAGAGATCCCAGAGTTACAGAGCTGGTCCGGGATAGAACCCGGGATCGCGGTCGTGACTTTCCCCCGGGCGACAGAAGGGGTATGGATACCCCACCAAGAGATTTCAGAAACACCGATCGTGCATCAAACAGTGAACGTGAACGTCCCCGAGCAGATTCGAATCCGAGATGGAACAATGAATCGGGAAGAGATACTGCGGATCGGGCTTCATCCAATGGGTACCGGACTCCAGATAACGGCGGTCGCTTGTCTCGTGAAGCAGCAATTTCCCCACCGAAAGCATCGTCTGCATCAGATCGTGGCCCAGCAATCAATCCCGATAGATTAGCACTAGTCAACCCAGATAGGCAAGAGTTAATCAATCCTGAACGGGCCGCTCTAATATCCAGTGGTAATGAGCCATCTCGCGCTGATTCTCCTCGTCGAGCCAGAGATGACACAAGAGAACGGCCTTCGAGACAAAATTCACCACCTCCAAGACGACATGATTCCGAAAAGGATCATCAACATCCAAGGCGCGATGACAGATCGAATCGAAACACAACCATGGATCCACAAAATACTTCAAGAGGTCGTGCTGACGAAGTTGCACCGCCACCAGCTGGTCCAAGAGGAGAGAGGCCAGCTGATCGAGCCAGCGACCGAGTCCCTCCTCAAGATAGATCAAGGGATAATCCTCCTTTTCAACAATCCCAACCTCCTCCCCGTCCTGTGGACCCCGATCATGGTAGACTAAATAGATCACAAGTAGATCCGAACTTCGGTCGCTTGAATCAGCAACCAGACATCCCATCTGGGCCTCGTGATAGAAATCGTGGCAATAATAGGATGGCGAGTGCACCGCAAGGGCGACGTGATGGAAGATTGGCCAATACTCCTGCACTTGACATTCCTCGGCCACCAAGTCCAGATAAACAACCTCCCACAGGTCCTTCTGGTGGACGGCATCCGCGACGCTTAGGCCCAGGTCAGATTGAACCAACGGCGCCTGTACATACTACAGTGCCTACGACGTCCACTGCATCGACACCAACATCAGGAGTCCATCCAGATCGATTGAAACACTTGGGTCCACAAGCCACTCAGCCACCTATGCAAGCACCACCGGCTGCTACAGTCGCTCCTAGCGGTATGCATCCAGATAGAGTAAGGAGCTTTGGCGGTCAAGCAGCCACGGCAAACATCCCACCTTCTCATCAAGATAACGCGCGTTCAAGACCGACTGCTCCACCTCTTCAAACACAAGTTGCTCCTCTCGGCCCCAAATCTCAAGCTCAAAACAGTCCTGTTTCTCGAATGAATGGTGCCCCAACTGGACCTGCATCATCAAATGAGCGCCCACCACGTGGTGCAAGACAGCCGAATTTAATCAACAATATCAACCGTATGCTTGAAGAAACCAAGCATCCGCAAGGTCAAGAACGTCGCGGAAGACGTCAGGGAGGTCAACCTCAAACTCCAATTTCTGGTCCCCCTACACCAATTCTCCCGCCTCCACCACCTCCTCCACCGGGTCCACCCCCCGCACAAGCTAGGGATCCTGGAAGAGACTTGATAAATCCTGCTCGTGCTGATTTAATTGGAAATCCCGCATCGAGCAATGACGATCGCGATCGTGGTGATCGAGGAGGACGTGGTTCAAGGAATGATCGATCTACGCGCAGTCGTCGTACTTCACCTAGTGATCGGAATAGGGACCAGAAGCGTGGTGGCCCACCAGAAGATGAGCGATCATCCAGGAGTGAACACAGGATTCGCGGAGGCGATAGAGAATCCAGAGATTCAGACAGGCACTCCAGAGGGGATCCTTCTGCTAGTAGGGACTTATTAGCCGGCGGTGGAAGGGGAGAAAGAGAGCATCGCGATAGAGATAGTAGTCGTCGAGATGCGCATGGCGGAGATCGCGATTCTCAACGTGATCAGCATGATGGCAATATTGGTGGTGGTAACTGGCCAGGTCCCCCTGATAACAGAGGAGTGGATAGGGGAGGAGACCGACGGAACCAACGATCGGACAGATCTGATAGAAGTGAACGTGATGGACGAGGTATGCGGGAAGACGGAGGTAGTGGCAGGAAGAGAAGAAGCGATCAAGATAGCATGAGGGAAGGTGGTCATGACAAAAGACCGAGGAGATAGAGGGGCTGAATTTTGAACTTCTGAGTGCCGTAGGAAAACAAGAGTATTGTAAAATGTAAGAATATTCAAGGGATGTTTCACAGGGTCAAACATGCATAGTATTAGGCGTATTTCACACAAAAACTTGTTTCTTTAGCTCATCTTCTCTTCTTTCTTTTGTTAATATTAGCAAGTCTATCATATATGAGGCATTGCATCATCATATGAATCTTCTCGTTTGTGTATAGTTTGGGAGGTGATGAAATGAAATTAAGAACACAGTTGCATCACATGATTAAGTTGGTATAATTCAAGGCTCTATTTCTAAGAAAATGGAAATGAGAAGTAAGTGAACAAAAAATCTTGGGATGAATTCGATAAAACCACTAGCATTTGGAAATGGATACGCGAGAATCTGCAGGGTATAAGGGTAATTTGTCGCAAATTCGTGAGCTAATCTCAATGATATAGATGTGCAACAGGATTCAATGAATGGGCCACGAAGGAATCGCGGGAAGATCAGGCAGGTTTTCTGTATAAGAAGTAAATTCATGATAGAGCAAGAGAACCTCGGATCCAGAGAGGTCTCAGAGTAATCTTTCATGTGGGATGTCTAGGGCATCATTTCGGAAGCTAAGATCAATCTGACCTGATCAAGTCCTTCTATTTTATAGCCGCCCGATTCCAACAGAGTAGAATTTATGATCTCGGGACTTGGCTCGAGGATGCCTCCCTCCTGGTGGTTCAGGGAAATCCGTCTAGAGGTTTTGATGACGGGTATGCAGACGAACGATTGTCTCTGCCAAATACTTTGGTAATGGTTCACCTCCGCTATCTTCATAAGAGCTCCGTTTCCCTGGATCTTTGTTGTGATCTGATGCAATGTCATCCATATCAACTCGACACATACGCAGAACAGTGGAGAAGTTAGCATCGTAGGAAACCCCATTTAACCATATCGATTTGCAATCTGTGACAACCGCGAGAGCGGCAAAACAATATTGGAAGATCATAAACTAGCCATAGAGTCCTAGGGTCATAGAAGTAGGTGTTCCCGTAGATTTGAAATGTTACATTCATTGATAAGGGACTGGTATTGGGCTATGTAACATCGGACCTGCAATTTGGGAGTTGAATTGTACGTGATCGTTGGAACTGAATAGAATGAACTGAAGACATGTCTCGCTAAGCATACTGACGGTGATATTCTCGAATAGTCGCTCTAAAGCATGGACAAGGTGCCCGCGAGGTTGAAAAAGCAAATCCGTGTGTAGGAATCGGGTGAGCTGATCAAGGTAGCGATTTGTAGTGGTTGATTCCCGAGAAATTGTAATTCAATAGTATCCATCAGAACCGTCAAGTTAGCTCTCTGGCCTTGATATACATGGTTATTTGGAATTGGAATATAGTGTCGAGGACACCGTCCAAGGGATGCATGCACGTTAATGTTGCATCTCGAATTGGCCTCATTTCGAAAATGTTGCTACCAGTCACGTGCGACATATTATACTTGATGGTAGTCGGGTACCGTACTCTGTACCCACAAGTCTCATCAAAAGCCTAATGATACCTGTGGAACGCTATGTGTAAATTCTGTCGACATCGTCTTGTCTTTTATCTGAGCTCCTCCAGAAATCATCAAGTTCTAGTACTAACAATGCGTATGGTATAGAACGGTACGGTAAGTCCAGAGTATTCAGTAAGTCACCTGGCAGAATCATTCACAACACTACGCGGCTTGAACCGTCGCATTTTACCATTGAATAGGCTTATCGGCGCGAGGTCCTGTTTACCGTGCCAACCTTGTTCTTCAATGTGAAACGAAACGTCTTAAGTATTGAGATCTTGATGAATTACTTTCGCGATCTATTGAGTCTTTGTTGGCCTATCATGAGGCAATGGCGTACCGTCTCAGAAGCCCCAGTCACATTGGCATATTTCTCTTGATTGTGCTTGTTTGCGTTTACCTATATGATAAGCAGTCTACGAATTTACGATCATCAATCCTTCAGTTTTCGGTCAATGAGCAGAAGCCTTCTGCAGACATCCTCCAGTCACTTTCACTGACAGAGGACCAATGCCACGCAGCTTTTCCAGGCTTGACGAAAGAGATTGATGATGCAGTGGCTCGAGGACCATTTCCTCTGAAGAGACAGCCGGATCACCATACCGGGCTTGTGCAAGGGAGAATAAAGGATGGAAAGGTTCTATTTGACCATCAAACCATCTATCTTACAAACTATGTTGACTGGTAAATCCAGGTGTTCATTATTTCTGCGGACCCGAATCCGTCCCGGAATATGCTCCAGGTTCGTCACCTCTTCTTCCTGGCAATTGCCACAAGATTCTGATCTCTATATCATAGGAGCGAACTTCAGTCTTACACCAAATTCACCGTGCCGTTACTACTTCTCCTTCGCCTCTTCCGAACACTATTTTCGCGTTCAATATACTCGATACTCCAATGAATAACTCATGGGCATTCTCAAGATCGAACGACCCTAAAATTGAAAATGGAAATTACTGGGTTATGCCGCACTTCAGCTTTTGGTCGTGGCCGGTTTCCTTTATTGGAACCGTCGATCAAGCTATGTCCAAGATTGATCATATAGAGATGGATAAACATTGGACCGAGAAAATCGACAAAGCGGTATGGAGAGGAACGGGGTGGTTCAATACCGTCGGTAACAAGGACTCGCGGCCAAGCTTGATTATGAAGGGTAAAGATAAAGAATGGGCAGATATAGAAGCTCTTAATTGGACCACAAACGGCGACAGTGCCGAAAATGCTATCGGGATAGAAGATTTTTGCAAGTACAAATATATTGTTTACACGGAGGGCATAACCTACTCTGGGCGTCTACTTTTCCATCAGGCGTGCGCTTCCGTTATTCTCACACCACCACCGACTTATTTACTTCACCAAACACACTTTCTACGTCCCATATTTTCAAAAACATTCCTCCCGGCGCGTGAAGTATCTGCAAAATTCCAATATGACTGGACAACTCGTTGGCCCAACACCTACGGACTAAATGAAGCGAACATCATATTCGTTGAACCCGACTGGTCAGACCTTGAGGAAACAATCATGTACTTGCGGAACCACCCTGAGATAGCTACTGGTATTGCTGAAAGACAAAGAGAACTGTTCACAAGATACTTATCTCCAGCTTCTGAGGCTTGTTATTGGAGAGCTCTTATACGTGGTTGGAGTAAAGTTGCTGAACCACACTATGAAGATGGCGGTTGGGCTAGATGGGATGCAGAAGGGGTCGAAGATGGCGAGGGAATGAGGTGGGAAACATTCAGTTTACTTGGGAAAGTCTCCCAGAACTGAAGCCCCTCGCGGAAAATGGGAATTTATGTTTCGGAGTCAGGCGTATCCTATTTTATGTAGACACGGTCCTATCACCTCACGATTCAAACTACCGTTCATCATTTTGGTTTCCCATAAAAGTTCCAAAAACAAAAACTTTGCATCTGCACAATTCATATGCTCGAGGTCTCGCTCTCTAATTTTGTGAAGCATATATTGCGATTATAATCGTCCAGCTTTTTGGAACGGCCTGTGGCGAACTATTCTTGAAGATTTCCATGTTAAAAACTTGAACACCTTGATCATGGAAGCAGCGGAGACTATAATGTGAGGATCACTTTACTTTTCATGAGTGTATAAGTCTTGATCTCAGAGCAAAGCCCGCAATGAGGAACACTTACCTTATCCAATGCAATTACACACACTAAGTATTGATGGAATCAATCACATGATTCCCCGGAAATTTGATAGAAGGAATCAATGAAGATGCAGTCACTAAAAATCTTGGCACCCGGATGTTTAGGATGCTGACGGGCACAAAAAATTCATATGATCACAATGTTGACAATTCAATGATGAGAGTAGTCTTGGTATTCACATTCACTCCTCCTTTTTCTGCAACTAGAAATTGCTCGTAGAAAAGATGCCCAGAGTGACGATGACTATTATTACCGCACCTAGCATATCTACATCTGACTTGTCCCAGATTTCCTTGCCAACTCCGCCATAGCAATACTACTTCTCTTGAGTCTATAAACGATAATACACAACAGAGCTTCTACCAGGCCTGATATCCAATCACTATGGCCAGCTTAAACTTCAGCACGTCTGTGCAATATCTCTCGGCCACGTCCGACTACCCCTCAAATGCTTTGATGCCACTGGTTTACGTCTTTGTCGTTGCTTGCGGTGTCCTTTTTGCTTTCTGTTTGAGCGGGCCTCCACGAGAAACTACTACATAACAAGCAGCAAGCGTAGCAGTTACGACGATTGTGATTGATGAATACATGGGAAAGTTCCTTGTGGTGGATCATCTGAATTCAGTGAATCTATAAGCAGCTGGAATTCCCCAGAATGTGGTAAAAGTTCCGGCTCGCAACATCAAATCACGCCATATTTTGTTTCGCTCCAGATTCTGCTTTTCTTCACCAAGCCGGTGTTCTTAAAACTCGGCAATGGCTTACGAACTCAAATTTCTTGACACTTGTCTTTTCTGCCCCGTCACATTGTTAGTCGATACATCCACCGCTACTACCTCTCTACGGTCACTTCTGTGTACTCTAGGTCTCCAAGGAGAATTTACTGGCACTGCGAAATCTACTGCGACACGGAGGCTTATTAACGGTACCGGACCGGCATTGTGTGCTGGACTTCATGTCTTAACAAATAATATATCAAAATTTTACTGGGGATACGTTTTTGTCCGTAACTTGGATATTCAAAGTACCAAAGAGTAAGTGCAATGATTGCTGCATTGTCGTAGCTATACTATGAAAGTAATGACTGTTCTTGAGCACGAAGCTCTACATACTTGGAAAATTCAAATCACCACATGGATTTTCCTTCTCTCTGGGTCAGTTGAATGGTTCCTCCTCCCTATGATCTTTCACCTGGTATTCGTTACGTGATTTTGACCTGACCAAGACAAAAGGTTCCGTATGATGTACATTGTTGTGCCTAAGGTCTCCAGGCCTTACTAGCGTGTTTCCATATCGTGAAAATAATTGCAGGACAACAAGTAGACGAATCCAATACCAAGATGAGATGCAGACAAAGAAAAGAAAGATTTCATTCCATCTCCATGTGATATCATGCTGCAGCCGTCTCAATGGCAACGGTTTAGCTCAGATCGCAACCACCAAAGTGGATATCGTTATTAGCAACCATCTCTACCTGACTAGCCATGGTACCATCACCAGCTTTAGCTTTCAACCAGATATGCTTGCTGAACAAGACTTTCACTGTTTTTCCAGGAACAACGAATGACTCGGTGGTTTCTCCTTCTTGGTATTCGGTAAAAGATTTTGAAGTAGTTTGAGTAAACTGGTAATTGAGTGTAACACTACTTTCGAAACCTTTAATACCGTATGAAGCCGAGACAGAGACACCAGCTGAGTGCACCATCTCTTCACTTTGAGTCTTGCTTATCCCCCATTTGATGGTCTTCGAGCGATTGAAGTCACCTGCGCTGTCATTGTTTCAAACCCCCTCAACATTCCACGCAATTTCTCGACTGACAGTATAGAAAGGCTTAGAGATCCTAGCAAGATTCCACGCGCTGTCGTTCGGAAGATAAAATATGAAAGGCAACACCGCAGAGCATTGTTCTTGCTGGCCAAATTGGTCGCCAGTGCTAGGGATGGTTGTTTTCGTAACAGTCGGTAAAGCAAAGTCAAACCTTTTAAAAGCATTGGGAACTCGGAGAAGCGGCACGACGGCATAACTCGTATCGGGCCTGCCATAGTTTGCCGAGACACGGAAGGTGTAAGGAGGTATAGGAAGATACTCGGAACCATCGATACCGTTGGTTTCGGTGACAATCTTCCATGTTGAGCAATTACGGTCCGCTCCAGATGATCCGTCGTTCCAAAAGTCACTTGCCTCATAAGTAGACAGCCGTGTGAGATCTGAACGCAAGCACCAGACGTCGTTAAGGCTGGGCTGTTTTCCGTACCCTGAAGCCATGACATCTCCCATTGCTACGTATCCAGACGGAGCTACAGGTCGCCACATGGTACCATCATTAGCTCCGCCAGAGCCACTGTCGCTCCACATGTTTGTGTAGCTCGTTGGTCTTGCAACTGCTGGGGAACGCCCAGCAGGTGCGTTGGGACTTGGCCCAACGAGGATCACAGATTTTTTGCCTGTGATCTCCCCGTAGGCAGGATTGCCGTAACTTCCTGGTGCACACAAGTTTCCTTGAGCGCGGGTGGAAAAATGTAAGATTACCGTTTCTTTTACCACCACTACCAGAGTCACTCCAACGCCAGTCGAATGTAGACGTCATGGTGACTCTTAGGCCGTCGTAGTCCCAAGTTGCGTTTGTCATTTTGAGTGGTTTGAAGATGTAGTGTCAGAAAATGTTTGAGTGTTTTGAGTATGTTGACAATTGATTTGATGAGAGAGGAGAGCTGTGTCTTTTTGGGAATAATTGATGCGATGAGAAGGACTTCTTTGACCCATTTATAATGAGATATCTTCACCCACATACAGCCACAAGGATATTCCATAGGCCACGTCTACCTCGTTCTCCAACCAAAGGTATGATGGCGGAATGAACTCCTCCGTTACTTTGCCTATGATTAACTGACTCGCTCAATTCAAGAAGATCAATACTTGATTTAAAGTTATAAAACAATTTGTCAGGTCCCTGGCTAGGGAAAACAATGCTGTCCTCGTGAAAGGTACGGATAATTAACAATAGGTTTCTCAAAGCCAATCATCTTGAAGACAGGCACCGCTGTCTCTGCAAAAAGAGATAGTAAGAGGCTGTTTTCGCATGCCATTGGGCATTCATGTATGTAATTGCAAAAACCCGAAATGCCATCTATGTCCCGATCAGACTACGAGCATATTTCCATGTAAAGGGCCAAGAGAATAGCTCATAGGTAACCAGAAGACCATGCGACTAAGCCCTCGGAATATTTCGATGTGCAATTTTCCAATTGGAAATAACCATTAGTTTGCCATGATTCAGACAGAGTTTCATTTGTATTCAGCGACATACAAAGTTGAGATTTTGAAGAGAATGCTATTCAAAAGCTATGAATTTAGAAGGTGAATTTATTACTAACAAACCGCACAATCTCTGCCACCTAATGCCCTTGGAATATATCAATCCCGCGGCAGGTGACAAACTACTGCTTGTTGTATCAAAAGGAAAACACATAAAAACTGCATAGATACACAACCATGCAGAGATATCACAATCAAATCGATCTTCAAAGAAAGGTTAGAACTCAGCAGGCAGAAGAACGCCTGGTTCTCTCAGGTACTGCAGTGTGACTTCAAAGCATGACTTTGAACCACAGGTCTTTCAACTAGAGGAAGCACTTGGAAGATCAAAATGTTATGTGGAGAGATGAATGAAGAAGCCAAGACACTGTAGTGTGTTAGTGGATGAAGAAAAAACGGCTAATTTTCGATCGCGAGATACTGCAATATAAATCTAATTTATCTTTATAGATTGCAGATCCTTCTTTCTGGGGGGGGCACATGGACGATCATAACGCTAGCTGAAGAAGACGAATCAAGAAGCCAAGAGATTGTAGTTACACGGCGGAGCAGATATGGGAAAGTAGAACAATGAGGGGAAAACTTTCCAGCATAGATAACAACATGGGGAACCGTTTGAAACTGGTCCACTCTCCGCAATAAGCGAAACTGTTGAGGTATCCTGCACTATAATCTGCTATCATAGACTTATTAATATATCCCTATGTCGTGCTTTTGTTGAAGTGGGTGGCTCGGCTGGGTAATTTAAGTTACATCGGCTCGTTCCGACGCTTATGACTGACTATATGCGATGCTACATGAAAATGTATCCTGGCTGAGCCGATTGGCCTAAAACTGAGATTGAATTAGATGTGACATATCGTGTGGAGTTGTTATTCATTTTTTGCGTTAGTCAAAAGTACGGGCTTCCCAATGTTGTAGCGATTGCAGCATAACTTACATAAATCCAATTAGAGACCAGAGATCGCAACAAATCTAACCTTGTTGACCCCTGAAGTCTAATTTCAACGACTCCCGGACTGAAAGAAGAATATTTGCTGAAGACAAGACCAATAGAAGATAATTCAAACACTGTCCGTTGGTTTAAAAAGTAGGAATGATGCTAGCAGTACCACACCACGCGATTGTTACATGTGTATTTGTATGTTGAGTTTCTGATCAGTGCAATTTTTACCAACAACTATTTCTTGAGTCATTTCGACGGTAGACCAATCATCAAATGGCATCTACCATTCCAGAATCGTGCCGCTGTGTCCTCACTCCAATTATTACCTCCTTCAAATTTACATCTTGTTATAATATGCCCTGAGCAGGGTGTACAAAACGGTGATAAATTTCAGCTCCAATCGAGGGGAGATCCACATGACAAGATGACAGCTAGCCCTGGTCCTGCGCGACATAAAGTTTATTACAGACCCACTATCATTTATCCACTCCAACCCCTCATTTCCAATCGAGACCTCCCCTCCTTTAATCCTACTCCTTTTACTCCTCCCTCCTCCCTGTCATGGCCCGTGATGTAAGTTTTGCCTTTTTAGTGTTACATCTACTCCGTCTTGTAGATCAATTGCACAACGGTACCCATGGGCCGGGTAATGAATCTGATAAACAATCCGCAGATGATCTATCGGTAATTCTCAAATCAAAACATTTAACCTGCAGGCAATTTGCAAATCATCTGCATCTAAGCCATGTACTCACAGGTAAGTGACTAGACTGCAAATAATACGTAACGCTCACAATGAAAAAAGCAGGCCAGTAAAACGCATGTACTTTTGACTATGTCAACAAATTATTTTGTACTAAAATTCAACTACGAATCGGAAGTAGTATAAACTTTTAACGCTAGTGCCCGTGCTTTTAGACTCCTAAGATGTAAGTTATTTACTTTCACTTACATTTGAAGATATTCACAGGTCATTTTGCAGCAAATATGTAAGCCAAGCTTAGATTTACATTGAATTTATACTATCCCTAAAATTATACTTGAATCATGTTAGTTTACATTATAATGATACAATGAGAATTACTCACAATTACAGAAAGCTTATGTACAGCCTAGTTGATAATCGATCTCATGTACTTCACTTCAAAAAGAACCCCAGTTGGTACATCTGAAAGGCTTTCCGCCTCCAAGTTTCTGGTTTAGAATTATGGCCCATTAAGCTGCATCTCGTTCAGCTGCATCTCGTTCTCGGCATAACTAAAGTTTTGCCTGAAAGTATTCGGAATCCGGAATGACACTTTTGAGATCGAGACGAGGAAGACAAAACTTCAGTATGTCGTGATGTAGCTCCAGAATAATACCGCCTGTAGAATGTAAACAAAGGAGGTAAAGTGTATATTGTACAGTACCCATGCAACACATTTCCGGGTCTTGAGCAGGAAGGATTCGTTGAATAAGAATTTTCATTTGAAGAAGTTTTCTGCATAGATTTCAGAACATATGACAAACTGCTGAAAGATAGTGAAATTTCCAGTGGCCATACATTCACCAAAAAATGAACCCAAGTTTGTAGCTGGCTACGCTTCGGCTGATCGTTTTGAGTGTGATGAGACTGCAGCAAACTCGAGTCATTTCAGCTACTTAAAGTTCAAAATTAATGGGAAAAGAGGAGAGAGAGAAGAGAATGTGGAAGATCCTTATATAGACTAGAAATATCTTAGAGGTAATTTCTACGTTCAATTCATCGCGTTGTCAAACAATTCATGAGTCAATAAACCACGAGAATAGACAGCACGGGTATACTAAACGTCAAGCTAAGAGCTTAAATAGATTTCAAAGATCAATTTGAACAAGCATGAAAAGGTACTTTGATCTGTGGCTCTTTTGTTGTGATCAACTGTCTTCTTTCGCACCAATTTAGTGCATGACACATGTGTAGACGCTACTTCGAAGTCATGTGATAAGATTATCATTGCTATGAGGTCTATCGTCAACACTAGAATTAACGAAGTGAGGTGAAAAAAAGTGGAATCTGATAATCATTACCTCTCTTACCATATTTGGCTAAATGCGTTGGTCGGCGTACCCTATCATATTCTCCGTACTGAAAACCTGACGTGTTACACTCGACATCACGCCAAATGCCAGATCACCTCACGCTAAGAATCGTCTCGTCAGTCGTATAAAATCCAGACACTCATGTAACCTTAAAGATAGACGAGAAGTACAGCCCTGGAATTCCATAGCCACAATGGATTCCGAAATGACGAAGAAGCAGAATGATGCCATCAGAGCATCTCTAGCAGAACTCACTCTCACAGTCGAGAAGCACATTTCCGCCTGTGAAGAGAATGCGGTACACGGCAGTACCTTGAATGCTGAAACTGTGACGAAGACTCATGTAGAACTGATGAATGCTGCAAGGAAAATGAAAAGTGATGTTTATGGACCAGTCAACAATATTGCTTCGCATTACGAAGAGGTACGTAGTATTGACATGAATTGAGCAATGAGTTAAAACTGATTCAAATGCGATAGTTCATACACTCAGGATGTTTGAGGGCATTGCTGGAAGCAGGTGTTTTCGACAAGTTGCCATTGGATGGAAAAGGAATGCCTGCTTCGGAATTGGCTGAAAAAACTAATATGGAAGAGGCACTGCTAAGTATGGCTGGATAGAGTAATATTACACAATGGGTGAGTGAACTAACGTTTGCATGCTACAGTTCGAATGATGCGAGCCGTTACTCCTATCTATTTTGAGGAGAATAGTCCGCGGGTGTACAATCAAACGGCAAATTCTCTAATCTTTCAGCTCGAGGATATGAGAGCATCATACAAACAAATGTTTGTCTCCTCCAAAGCGAACTCCATTGCACGATATGTGATTCTGACAGTGTAAAGTTATGACGAATACGCGCCTTGTAGTTATGCCCTAACTCCATACTTCAGAGAGAATGGATTCAAAGTACCAGACTCGATCAAAAACAATCCATATACATTCGCCCATCGAACTAATGGTCTCAACATGTGGGATTACCTCTCTCTTCATCCTGAAAGACTAAGAATATTCAATTTGGGCATGAATCGAATTTCTTCGCAAATGGTTCAATCCTATGGTATCTTTCCATGGCTCTCCGAATATCGAAAGATGCAAATAAATGACGATTCAGTGCTACTGGTAGATATTGGAGGTGGTCAAGGTCAAGCAATCACCGCTATCAAGGATATCATTGAAGGTACTAAAGGTCGATTAATTCTCCAAGACAGAGAAGAAGTCATGTTGGAGAACCCTAATCCCATTCCTGGAATCGAAAAGATGACTTATGACTTCTTCACACCACAACCAGTCAAAGGAGCACTAATCTACCATATCCGTCGCTGCTTTCACGACTGGCCAGACGCAGATTGTGTTACTATTCTTTCCAATATCGCTAAGGCCATGACTTCCACATCTCGTCTTCTTATTGCTGAAATGGTCTTGCAAGACGAGCTAGATGCTGAGGCGACTTGGATGGATGTAACGATGATGTTTTTTGCAGGAAAAGAAAGATCAGAAAAGCAATGGAGACAATTGATTGAAGCTGCGGGATTGAGATTGGAGAAGATATATGGTTCCGAGGGAACAACTTTTAGTGTATTGGAAGCGTGGCTGAACTAGGGCTGTGGAGTGGATCCTATGGCGAGGATGACGGGATAGTTATGACGAATAGGTCTTCACATCAACTGCCAGTGAGCTTGGAAGGGGAGGCATGAGATTTTGATGAAAAACCTTCTGTGCAGAGACTTGCTTCCTGAAATTCATTATGGTATTCATACAGAATGTGTGCTGATTGCCTTTACACAGAGACACTTGTTCCCTGGTTAAATCGGCTCAACTAGATGCGAGGTGAGATAAGATTTTGAAAAAGCTTATTTGTATGCAGGACAGTAATATCAGACTCTAGCGCTTGGTAGGCATTCAACGCGGAACATTTATTGCGTCTTATCTCTCTTCCCAGCTGCTAGACCAGATTTGTTTGATCCTTCGCCTCTGTGGGACCGCTATTTTGGGTACTATGATGAAGTGTCCTGCATACTTTCATTGCAAAATGAATGCAGTCGGGTCATCCTACTCCAGCTAGTAACCACCTGTCCTCCAAGATCTTTTGCTAATTTGGGGCAATTTTCAATCTGGGACCTGGTATCCATTGGATGGCTGGATTAGACAAGTGATCACAGGTGAAAACAACTCGATAGTCATGTCCAATGTATATCGATAGCTTCGTGGGCCACCTAAGATGGTATCGTCAGCAAGCATAGGTTGCACGAGATATTGATGATACCAGTATCTTGGAAAATTTCACATAAAGTTATATTACACCAACAGACACCCTGTATTCGGATCTTACATGCATACCATTTTGAACCAATAGTTGTATCTTACAACCAAAACTCGAAGAGTGGGATCTACATGATCAAACAGGGCTGAGTATGTATCTAATAATCAGCTCTTCCAGCGACCAGCGACCAGCACTCACTAAAAGCGCCAACTTGCAGGGACGTTTGCTTTTCAGGTAAACTTACCAATTTCCCCAAGTATGAACTAGTCGGCGCTTAAGAGCCGACTATGGTCATAGAATAAACTTTGCAGGCTCTTGGCTCCTGGAGCCTCCGATCGGATGAATATCAGACCTTTTCTACAACTACATTGATTGGGTGGAACCACTGGTGAACTGTGTGGCTGGTGGTTTTGGCCTAGAAATGGCACACACGAGCCACAGATTTATCCTCAAATTTCAGGCACAATAGGCCTAACGTTCATCCGACCGAGAAAGGCGCGAAAACCAAGAGCCTGAATCTGAGAGTCCTGCAAAGTCTATTATGCAAAGTCCCTGGCATCAATTCTTTGACCCTAGCCACCCCCACAAATGGCACAATCTCACCAATCATCATTCATCGCACTGCTTCCTCCTTTGAGAATAGTGCATAGTACGTAAGCTTCGACTTCGATATCCTTATAAGCTTCATGTTTGGGAGCGGAGGGTCGGTGTTGACCCTTATCGTGACCCCGTCGTGCTGGCTACGTTTTGAAGCAATATATCGTATATCTTAGATTTGTGGGTAGATTTAAGGTTACGGCTTGTCGCTGACATGGCTGTGCCTCCCTCTTGAGACTTCGTACTTTTCTTATTTCTCATTATGGAAGATTATCTGGGTTCGGCACCGTAGGGAGAGGGTAGGAGGTCGAGAAATTCACATGTATATAAAGACTTCCTCCCAATTTGTGGGATATGGATATTCCCCATAATCTTTCAAGCTCAACCGTTCTAGCTGTTCTTTGGTTTCTACCTCTCGTTTCTCAGTGTGTAGCTATAGTATTGCACGTTGAAGGTTTCATTCTTTGAACGACATTTCTTTCCCTTCTAGCGTTTATCATGCGATACCTTCCTATACAAGCTCGGAATGTCCATTTTCTGGTCTCAAGCAAGAGAAGTTCAGATTCTTCCAAGAATCATACTTGTCCCGTGGAAAACATAAACGATCCTCGTAAGACTTCATCCCCTGCAGCAATCTTTTAGTTCATGGACTAAGACGAACCCATAGCTCAAGTTCCATTCATCAATAATCTCAGTTTCCATCAATTTATTCAAATTTTATCAGGAGCATGTCTAGCCTTCTCGCTTCTCCTATCAATCTTTCTGATATTTCGCCATGCAACACATTATTCTATGCCCCGAGAACAGAAACAGTATACCTTACCCCTCTGTTCTATTCTATCGACGAGAGTATTCTAACACACCCACCAGAATCATCTGCATAATCTTCATGATTCCAGTATTTGCAACCATTTCGTTCCTCTGCATACATTTCGAAGAAGCCGCAGCTTATATTTCCCCCATCAATGAACTCTACGAGGCCTTTGCATTTGCCGCATTCTTCCAGCTCTTGTATACCTACGTACTTGAAGAAGCTCATGCACAATCTTTCTCTGGACAAGCATCACAACTTCCCCCAATTCGCAAAACTGCCATCCAGATCTTCCAATTCCCAGCTATCATGTTCATCGTATTCCTCATAGAAGAGATCTCGGAGGCAAAGGGGACATATTGTGAAACGGAGATTAAGATTTACTTCACCAGGATTTGGGTAAGTTCTCCTTTATTCATCCTGAAAGTTTCCAAAAGATCAAACTACATTATCAAGATCATTAACTCACCAAAACTCAGTGTGTAATCCTTCGCATAGGCGGTACCATCATTGCCATCCTGGCACTTCTCCGCTTCTACAAATCCACAAAGTCCCTAACAGCGGCTCGCAAACCCATCCACAAACTCATGGCATTCAAAGGAATTGTGTTTTTGAACTTTCTTCAGTCCATTGTCTTTGCATTCCTCTCGTCGCGTCTTTCGCCGACCAATAAACTTACCACTCGCGATTTAACGGATGGAATTCCCAGCCTACTGGTTTCATTAGAGATGGTTATCTTCTCGATCTTATTTCTGAAATTTTATGCCGTGGGCGAGTACGCCAAGGGAAGAGAGACTTATCAGGGAGGTTTCATGGGAATCAAAGCAATTGCCGGAGCAGCAAATTTTGTTGCTTTCATAGGGGAGATGGTCAGGATGGCGATGGGAAAAGAAAACACAGAAAATGGGGGGAATGTATGTACTTGCTCTTCTTATAAGGCGCCTTCTGTTTGAGGGAGCTTGATTCGCACATATAAATGTGTTGTTTCTTCTGGGAACTGAAAACTAATCTTTAGTGTGATAGTATGAAACCGTGGGACTGACTGCTGGGACGGAATATCATCATAGTGTATGAACACAGATTGGAAATTAAAGCGATTGGAATACTGTGGGATGATGAGATGGAATATTTCATTCAAAGTCTAGCGCAAAGATACGCGAATCGGTTCTAATAACAATGTATCTTATCCGTTTGGGGGAGTTCAAGGTTGATGATGTGTCCTTGGAAAAGGTATTTATTTTGCACAAACACGAGTGTTGGATTTATCGATCTTAGTTTCTTTGTTTTGTTTTATTGGGTTGGAAATGATAGATACCTAGGTCTATTTTGATAGACCATTAGTGAATGAGGATACTTGATTATAGATCATGAGTTCATTGGCGATACAGAATTTGTTCAAAACGACATCCCCTTTAATCGATTCACAACGTGTATCACGTTCATTCGAAACTTTTTGGAGTCTATTAAATTTCAGATGTACACTGTAGTTAGGAACATCGGATGCATTGTGATGGTGCGAATTGTCCGTCACATTTTCTATAACATGATACGGTAGTAGGATGCCTTCTGAGAAGAGAACCACAAATTTATTTTCAATGTTATTTACTTGAATGAAGTCAAGAAAGAGCAAGCTGAAAATCTTGCTTTCGAGACATGAATAATTTCATTTTCTCATTTTCTCCTTCACAATTCTAAATCTTTGCCCTATATTTCTACAAGTATCTAATATATAAACAAAGTCCAATGTATATACTTTGTTTTCCTGTTGATATAGCCATATTACGATTCCTGAGCAAGGCTCACTTTCTAAGTAGAAGGTATGAAGGAGCTCATGTTGAGCCACTGAGAATGTAAATGAGCCAAAATGATACACCGAGACCAACATTCCCGGCCCGAAGAGGCGAGATGTCTTTGCTGCCTGTTAACTAAAGCTAGGTAGCCTGTGGTAAAGATGTTTGTAAAGTGCTTTGATATTCGAGAAGAAATTTCGAGTCCAAATCAAGACTTTCCAAAAGGGGCGATGAAACGAGAAGGTAATTTCCAAGCCATAGATGGGGCTGTCGCCGCCGAGTCTTGGTTGCCAGTATCCAGCAAGGCGGTCTATATCACTCAGTAGTGGAGTTGACACAGATCAATATAGATCAAGTATTAATCAGTTTCCTATCATGCATCTATACGCAGGTCATATCTGTCGGAGACTTCCAGCGTGTTGCAAAGTATAATGAACCTAGGAAGAATTTAGGTGAATAGGAAAGATACACAGTTCCCAAAATTACTGAGTTGAATCTCCATTCTTTCTTGCGAGCAATTGAGAAAGTCATTCCAGCTCATGTGAGCTCCATTAACTGTCCATGTGTCCAATCCTCATAGTTTGGTCCGGCCCCTTGTTTGATATCTTCAAGCTCCCAAGCTAAGAGATCCTTTCTTTTCGTTAGAATATGTGATAATGGAGCAGCTTGCTTGATTCCCATGATGTCGGATATGACTCTTAATCTCCCTGCTACCCAGTGACACATCATATCGGATATAAGAGGCGTACAGGCTGCCGTATACAAAGGCCACAGTAAAAGATTACCGCTAACGGCTTTAGCACTATTTAATGTCACTTCTCCGCCCTCCGTATATCCAAGCATAAAAGGAACGCTAGCACATATATCATGTGATAGTTGAATGACGGCTGTGGTCGAGATCTCTAATTGAGAATCAGAGAAGATAGGATTCCTCAGTTCGAGATCGAATAACTCAGGCTGAATATTTCTAAGATGAGTGAGCTGAACATAGACAACTTCATTTATGAGAATCCGAACACATCGATAGTGGTTCCAGAGTGCGGCGGCCCAGATACTATCGTAGATATGATAGTGATCCGAAAAAACGCCTTCAGACCTTTGTCTTAAGGTGAGTGTTCTATAAAACATACACTCCGGCGGGCAAGTGAAAGCCCACTCTACAAGCTTGGAATCAATCACCAGGGCGGCTTTGATGATTCTTTCCGCGTTTCTGTAATCATGAAAAGAAGACATTGTAGCACGGAGATCGCCAAATTCCACCACTTGTTCCGACAGATTTGTGGCGTGGGCATCATTTGGCGACTGAAACTGCAAAGCATATTTTGACCAATCCCGAATGAAAGGCGGAATAGAAACATGGCGTTGTATGCAGTTTGTGATCTAAACAGAGTATTAGACATAATTGCCACATTGAAAGAGGCAATAAACATACTACTTGAGTCCTAAGATGAGCAAATATGTGCCGGCCTATTGCAGTTTCAAGACATTGCTTTCCTTTAAGCTGCATCAACGATGAGGCACCAATTACATGTTTGGTCCAAGATTGCATCGATTGAGGACCGGTGCATGTGTTTATCTATTAGCCAATTAGCCGGCGAACCTTTATAAATGTTCATTAGAATTACTTCATAAAGCCCCAAAAGTATTACTGCCACGAGGGTTTGATCGGCTCGTGCTTCGTCTTCATTTCTCAGCCGCGAGCTGATAAGTCTTAGAGCAGAGTTATACTTTTTGTTCGCGTGAAACTGAAATTCGGAAGCTTTCCAGAAGTTTGCTAAGCCGACCATGCCAAGACATTCAATACTATCAGTCAAAGCAGTGCCAATGAGTTCATTGTCATATATTTCGTGGAGATACTGAAAACTACCACTTGTCGAATTATCTTCGAGAACATAGTTTCGAAAGAAATAACACGTTGCCTGCTCAGCCGAAGAAGTCGAAAGACCTGGTGCCAGTGGTATTGTCTGCGTGGCAATTTGCGTCTTGGAATAGCACGACAATTGAGGATCTATAGGGGTCTCTGGCGCATCATTTGATGTTTTGCTTCTCTTTTTAGATACTACTAGTCGAGTGTCATTTTCAGTTCGTCGTTTGTTAGCGTAGTGTTGCGTTTGATCGCGGAACATCATGTCTGCTTCGGTTCTGTATCCTGTGCAATTGCGGCCAGCGCGAACACATTGTGAACAAGATGGCGTCAGAGTGTCACACTGGATGGGTCAGTAGCTAGATTGATATGGGAAGCTGCTTACTCACCTTGGTCCTCCGAAGCCTGCACTCTGCGCAAGCTTTGCTTGGCTTACCACAATAAACCATTTCGTGACTTGATCAAGGTAGTTGGTAGTATTTGGGGTTCTTAGAGCATCTAAGCACTCTCTTATAGAAGAATCGGGCAGATGATGAGTAGTCTGCGAACCCGTGTTTCGTAAGGATGTTGAGAAAAACGATGATTACACCAAAGCATGAGAACGAATCAATTGAAATTGTTACCTGTCGGTACGTACATACACTGTCATATTGCTTGTGTGAAGCATGCATTCATGATCACATAGTTACTAAGCCACGTTGTAAGAATTTTGTACATGGCCATATATGTGTGAGAGATCGGCAATGCAGATGAAGCTTGGTTCTCTTTAGGAACATGTGGTTGCTTGTTCGTAAGACGGATAAGGCTCTGTCATCATACGCTTTTCTCTTTCGGGTATTCTCTGCGTAGCGCATTGATTACTCAGCCCCTTTGTAACACCACCCGAGTAGGTACTCAACTTTCGACAGCAACTCCCGAACTATCCCCGGAATTATATTGTTTAATATCCTAATATTATTCCTTTCTTTCTTTTATATAGCATCTTGCGACGTCTATAACACTTTTCCTTTATACTCAATTTCATAACTAGCTTTTAAAGAAAAAAGCACTTTTTTTAATATTATCTAATTAAACTTTTGAAATTAAAAATTCAATTCAATCAATACAATTCCAAATTGAAAAAAATTTATATTATAATATAAATCTTAATTAATAGAATCTATAAATAAAATTTAAATAGAATTGATCGAAAACTTATTGAATTAAAGATAATTGAATAAAATGATGATTTTTTGTATAGTTTTTAGACTTTCAAATTTTCGAAAATTGAATTTTCATTCAACTACCTTCAATTCGATAAATTTTGAATCGAAATTATTTATATTTTATTTATCGATTCTGTTAATTGAAATCTATATTTCTATATAGAGTTTTTTCAATTTGAAATTGTATTGATTGAATTAAAAGTAATTGAATTATTTTTATATAGGATTTAGCAAAAAGTTGATTAGATCAAAAAAAGTCACGTTTTGAAAGCTAGTTATGAAATTAGGTATAGGTAAAATTGCATAGAGATTAGCGAGCCTGATTCTTTCAATTGCACTAATCGGATGAATCCCATAACCTAATATTCTTATTAGTGATTGCTCTCACTCTATTCTGATAACGAAGGAGTAAGAAAACGATGGCTTTCCCAAAGGTTCAATTTTGGAGATACTACTCATCACTTTCCATTTTTGACACCTCTCCCATTCTTTTAATCTATCAGTATCAACAGTGATGATGGATGCGTACCAGTGTGTGGCTCTACTCTATTGGAATGACCGTCTGATGGCCGTTATTCTCGGACGGTCATCCGGAAAGTTTGTTGGAAGAAGACCCAAGTTCGATATAAGAGATGACTGCCGCACACTTATTTCTTAGATTCAATCATTTTCTTAACGCAATTTTGTTTCTATCTTCTTCGTACCAAATTTCTCCCTTTACAATCATTCAAAGTTCAACCATCATGGTATCAACTGAAAAGGGCATCGCATACGCAGAAATTATTGCATATGCTATCGCCTTACCAATCGCTATCTTTGTGATTTTCTCACAGGGTTTCAAGAAGAAGCTTGGTTGGGTATACCTCGGATTGTTTTCTGTCGTCAGGATTGCCGGCGCAATGTTTGAGCTTCGAAGTATACATAACCTTGCTAATACCAGTGATGCGAAATGCTCGATTATTCTGCAGTCTGTTGGGATATCGCCTTTGTTCATGGCTACATATGGTTTACTTTCTAGGACGTACGTCAGGGTCATTGACTGATTTTTATAGCAATGTTTAAACTAACAAGCAATGACAGTACTGATATAATATCTGGTTATGCAAAAGCTGAAACGCCTTTTGAGATGCAAAATAGCGGATAATACAAGCCAAGTACTTCAACATCTAGATCTCTAAGAAGTCGTTTTATTCAACTAATGCATATACCCACGATAATTGCTCTGGCTCTTTGTATTGTTGGCGGCACTCGAGAGTTTGACGGTACATCGTCCAAGATCTCATCCGGTAGAAACCTTACCAAAATCGGAATCGCTATTTATGTAGGAGTGTACATAATCCAGATTTCCCTCGTCATTGTCACATTTAAGGATTATCGCAAAATCCCCACTGGACATAGCCGAGTGTTCTGGGCCGTCGTTATCGCCAACCCCTTCTTGGCCGTCAGATTGTTTTACAGTGTTTTGGCGGCTTTCACTTCCATTAAATCCTTCTCTGTAATTGACGGGTCCGCGTTAGTAAGATTGTTCGTGGCAATTATTGAAGAATTTACGGTAGTCGCATTGTATTTACTTGCGGGTTTAATGACACCAAGGTTGAATACATAAGATTGTGTAGACTGTTGTTGACGGAAAATTAGCGGATCTGGCTCTCTAAATGTACTGCCAGATTCGCTTACAAAATCTTATACAGTGTGTTTCTTACGTTTCGCATAAAATTCTTATTTCTTTTCATTTTGACGATTTAGAAAAAGAGATGAGTGACAGCAATCGCTGATTGAATCATATCAATATCATAGGTTAGATTCAATAATAGAATATCAAGCTTTGAATTTCACTTGGAGTAATATACTGTCCGTATTTTTAACGAAAGTTAATCGTTCTCCAAATCACTGAGTAAATGAAGTTCACCATGTGAGAATGATACTACGTGTCTTTTGGCGTTTCACTGCTCATTTCGCCGTTCAATTGAGATCCAGCTAACTGATGTTGCTTGATGACTTTACATTATCTAATTTATGTGATCAATGAAGAAATCCTACACTCAATCTTGAGATAAACATTCCGTCACCTCGATCATGTGGCGGAGTGCCCCACCATCCATTTAAGCGAAGATTACCAAAAAGGGTAACCAGTAAGTAGCGTCATCGTAAAATTCCCACAGTGGTAACTCCGTAGTAATGATTAATTTATTACGCCTTTCATTCCTAATCAAGAGTTTTTTTCGTAGCTGTCGCATCGAGTGATATCGACATGCGGAATGATAAAATCTGCTTAAATTAACCCAATTGTAGATGTTTCTACTTCTTACGGAAGGGTTTTCGCTTCTTCAATGGTCGACTTCTTTTACTTCTTGTCTTGGCATTTATCACACTACGCTGTGACTAAATGCAGTGAAATCTTGAATCGCACAATGACTTCCATTATAAAGCTTCTCTCAATCCCTCTCGTCGTAAGGATGTACATCTTTTAAACACAGAAGCAAGTCTCACCTCTTCTTTTTTGTTTCTTTACCGGCACAATTTCTTTTTAGTATTCCAACAGAAACCGGACAGCATGGGGAAACTCGCTGGACTCATTAGTTCAGGCATTGGTCTCGCAATGGAAGCAAAGACGACCTATCAATCTCCGAGTCCTAAATCCCACACGAAAGATGCAAATCGGGGTTCAACTTATATAGCTCCACCCCAAAGTTTGTCCATCGTCAAGGTTACTATGTATCGATACTGACTTACAATAGTACCATTTCGCACCTTGCCAAAAGCAAATCAACATAGCAATGATGAAGACGCATACCAACACTTGCAAGCCTACGCCGACTATCAAAACACCCTTTCAGATCGCATAAGTGCAGACATAGGGAGAGATGAGAATTACCGAAAATATTTAACCGTGAATCCTCGAGCACAACCAATGAGGAGTGCATACGACAGAGATATTTCGTTTTACTCCCACGAACAGCCAGATCAAAGAATTCAGCCAGCTCGAGGGCTCTCTTGTCCTGTAATACTTCCACAACGAAGGCCCGAAGCACAAAGTCGTGGTATCATCCGAGCGTACTCCCTAGAGCTAGCAGGTTGTGGCATAAATCAAGATACGTTTCTGGATTTCATCGATGATTTTAATCAAGCTCATAAAGTAAGTTCGAACACGCGAATTTCATTCGTGGATAGTTACTCATATACAGGCATCTCCTTATCTCGACGCCGTGAATGTGGCCGCTCAAGGTGTCGGCTTTGCGCCCGGTATTTCGCCGATGATTGTGTCCATGGTTGTTCCAATTGCAGTACGAGCAGCTAAAGGGTATCAGACGCAAAGACAGTAAGCAGGCAGTCGAAGTACTTGGTGATGATAACAGCCAGTTGATACTCTCCTTAGATCATCCTCTTTCTTAGACCGAGCCAATACAAACCTCTTCGTACCCCATGGCCTCTTTGCAATGGTCTTAACTTTTAAGCCTCAACAGACTCAAAACCCACATGGAGTACCAGGAGAAGTTCAACTTCCTCCATCTGCTTCCCTTATTTATCCCGAAGATGATAGGCGTGCTCAAAAAACCGGCTTAAAGAAAATGGGCCACTTTATTGCAGATTATGGAGATCGTAGAGCCCAGGCTCGATACGTATGTGCGATTCATCTCTTTGATAGAGAAAGCCCTACTGACAAACAAAAAGGCGCACAACAATCCCGAGTCATCTTTGGCTAGTCCTTTACCAACATTCAACAGTCGTTGGGCTGACCCGAATCACCCTACCAATAGTGGTGGACTAAAAAGTCTACTTACTGGCATTCCAGACGATAGAAAGTCCCGCAGAGAAGACAAAAAAGATTGCGAAAGAGACAGAAGAGATCGTCGTCGCAGAGGTAGCTCAAGTAGTGATACTTCCAGAAAAGGTGGACTTCTAAGCACAGCACTTGGGGCCGGTGGCAGGAACGGTGCCTCTGGAAGAGAAAGAACAAGTCTGGTAGGAACCGCGAGAGGGATGATAAATGGACCTGGAAAACAAGATCAAAGTTTAATCAAGGGAATCAGAGGCATAGGGATGAAGACTGATGTCCTGTATCTGATGATCACAAATAACACCGAAGATCAGAGACCATTCCCTTCGACGAGACCACAAGCGCCACTGACTCACGTTTCGTCATTTTCAACACTGGATCCTCAATCCACGAACCCAGACAATTGTCTGAGATCGTCCAATAATGATCAAAACTCCGTCTATCCCATCTCAAACCAAGATCGAATAGTTCCCTATACCAATCAAAAACAAAATGGCAATTCCTATATTGCCAGGCAAGATCAAGTCGCCACGGGGTCTACCGCTAGACATTTTGAACAAAACGACGCTCCACCGCCTGCATACAGAGAAGCAATGCCAGCAAGGTATTACGATCAGATGAGACAGAATGACGAGGAGTTCTGCGCACCTACTATATAGTCTCTCCGAGTTCATCTCAATTTTGTATCTGGGATGTTTTTATTTGGTTTGGAGTTTGTGGGAGTGTAATTGTATTTAGCATCACTAGATGCTCACGTTTTTACTTAACCACATTTTAATTTGTCACAACCTTTCATGTAATAGCCTGGTTCAGTTTTCCGAAGCAAAATATCATTTAATCCAAAAGTGTCTAGTGGTCCGCACTATATAAATCGGATGTACTTAAAACCAGAGGAGAATTCAAGAAGGGTTCAAATTTCTAATAATTCCAATTTTTCAACTGAAGACGTAAACTGTGTGTGAACTTCTGATGATCATACTGGAGTCCAAATAGAACTCAAATCTAAAGAAACAGAAGTGTCTCATACCAATGGGACGAGCGGTGGAGACCAAGTAGCACGTCGTATAAATATGTGACAAGATGTGATTTAGACAACTTCCCAAACGCGGGAAAATGAAAGAGATACCTGATAGTACGAACTCCCTTAATCAACAAACAATACTATTCCAGTCATTGCTTTCGTATATCTTCTCATTGGAGATACGGTGGCCAGCTAATGGTACAAGATAGAAAATATTACCTGCGCACCGTTCGCTCTTTGAGAAATGAGTACCCAAAAGCTGTTAGTACATGCTCAGAAGTTAGTTGCACTTGGAAGAAATGTGACTAAGTGTGGTGGTGGTGCGTATCTATTATGTGTGTGGATTTGTTGTTTATATAAGAAGTTAGGAGTTGACATAGTTATCCTGGGACAGACGACCGTCGCTCACTCCACACCTTATTGACTTGAATATTAACAATAGGCTTGAGTGACGCACACACACGAATCATGAATAGAATAATCTACCACCGAAAGTTTCTATAGAAAATTTGAACGGGAGAGATCGGGGACAGTCCTTGAATGGTTATTCGACAAGCAAAAAGAAGAAGAAGACGCGTGTATGAAATTTTGCTCCCAATGGTCGTGGACTTCGACTGCCAAAATCGAATGCATGAAAATGATACGCCGCTTCCAATCCTGGCAGTAGGTTGGTTCATGGATTAAAACCCCCATCAAAATTGTCACAAAAATTGTTGGCGTGGTCCGAATCAAGATGTCGTGGTACATGGGGCGGACAAGACCGTTTAGGAATTAGACTCCGCAATCTCCAGCACATCTTTTTCAAGATCAAGCTCTTTCCACGGGCCCAATCCTAACTTCTTATCGTTCTCGGTCACCCTAACAGCAGCACCCACCATATAATGCGGACCTAATGCAACCAATTCCATATGCACGTTTGTAACTTCGCGGCCCGTGAATACAATGCGATAATTGTCAATTGTCTCCCCGTTCTCGAGAGAATTCAGATCATGTACCTCAGACGCAGTTGGACTTCGAGCATCGCAAATCTCCAAGTCTTTAAGCCATGGCGCAAGCAAAGCTTCTCCAGTCATTTTGACATAGGTCTCTCGCAAACACCACATGGCATAGAACCGTCTGATCTTCGCATCGACGACCTTGTTACTGTCAATCCTCAATTGTTCAGTCTTCCCCTCACTGTCTGTAATGACCAGATCCAACTGTCTGTTTCTCCATTGGCATCTAGAGAGCGCATCGTTGCCATATCCATGGAGCTTTTTACCGGGCGCAACTTCGTCGAGTCCAAGTGTTGAAAGCTTCATATGATTGACCTCCGAATCTGCGAACACTTCTCCGTGCATATCAATCCATTCAAAGAACCCGCTCTTCTCTATATATTTATAGTCATGCGATATTCGTTCGTTGGCGCACACGATATCCGTTCCCACATTTATTGTTCCATCGCCCCCAATCACAGCTATTAATGTTACAAGTCCGGCCTGATGACTTACATTGAATTGGATTCGAGGTTGATCTGCGAACGAAGTATAACAAGGCTTTCCATTTGATTCGCGCGAAATTGTAGTCTTCGACCAAGGTACATTGCAATGTTTTGCAATAACAAGGTGCTTGAGGAGATGGGATGCTAGGCTCATTTTTGCATCTTTGACGTGATAATATTTAAGGACTGATTCTTGCTCGGATTCAGAGAGTAGAGCCAAAGCACGAGAAGCCTAACATCATCTGTCAATTCAGACAAGTAGAGCAGCTGGTAGACGTTATACACACAGCAGTCCTCAGTTCTGCGACCTCCTCTCTGGGCTTATCTTTGCGATGAACAGGCCACAGGAGTCTTGTATCGAGCAGCCATTGTACAATGTATGGCTCTGAGCCCGGGGATGTCATTGCACTGAGATTTTGAGGCTTGTTGCAGAAACAATCTTGAAGGATTGATGAAGCCGGTGGAAGAATTATCAACGATTGACAAATCAGTTTGTTCACCAGTGGGATAAGAAGTTGATTATGTAAGCGAAATGCCGCAGCCCACCAGTGAACCAGCGAACGCACTTTTACCCTCACAACCAGGCAAAGCAGCTTTTTCTTTCTCTTCAAAGTTAATATTGATAGATTCTTACATCACCTTTTGTACATGGAGATGAATTTTGTCTATTAATAGATATACATCGTTACATTATATCAATCTTCACATATCTCGCGAAGTCGATCGCAACTTCCTCAACATTATGACGCATAAGTGTGTGTGGCCAGTAAATTCATTAGTAGAAGATTGATTATATCTGACTCAACCTTATGATGTCAAGATCGCATTGGAACATTTCAAAGTTGTAGATGTTACCGGACCACGAACCTTTACTGGCTCAGATATCCAGCGGGCTCTTTCCTAATAAAGGCATCCGGAACCCAGGACGAGTTCAAATTAGTATCTTAAACTTTGCAGATAATGTCTAAATCTCCATGATGAGATTATAACATCTTGTTAGAGTCGCTCGAAACCATTTAGCGATTCTTCAAGTAGTTGCTGGTAGGTATCGACTGGTTCAGTTACCATAATGAAATTTCCATCTTTGATCGATTATTTACATTGATTATTTGTACCCCTACATTCTGTGGAGTATAATCTTTCACTCCAAAATGGCGAGCTAAACAGTCCCTATACTTGGATCAGATGGAGAGCTACTATGTTTGGAGACCGTTCTGATTGTTATAGCAGGGCCGGGTTTGATAATGATTAGAATCGTCCGCGCCTTCATTTTCTCATACTTGTCCTTTATATTCGATTAAACGCTTTCTTAGTATGTGGTACTGCCCATAGCTCTACGTGAAAGCTCAATCTTCCTCCTGACGAGACCGTGAAAATACTTCCGGCAGCTGGTAGCTTTGGTGAAAGTGTGAAAGTGTTGTGATGGCAGCATTGGTGATGGGTACTATAGTTGTTGCTGGTGGTAAAAGTGAAGATATTCTCACAGCCTCCAGGGAGATTTATGGAGATACCGCAAGACTCGAAGTAGTCGTTTCAATCGGCGAACAATGAAGATATACACAGCAGATTTTTTCAGTTCCAAGTAACGGTAACAGCGCCAATTCAAATATCGACCTTTGCCGAACGCAGCTACCAGATTGACTCATATTATAGCGTGGATGACCGCACTGAAACCTTTTGACAAAGTGGCATCGTTGGCAACATTGAAGTCGGTTACATTTCACTCATGATCAAAATTCTGCGAACTTAGGGGAATTATGTATGACTAAGAAAAGTGGTAAGATTGGTCGAAATGATTGAAAAGGGGAATCTAAAAATGGATAATGGTGCAGGTATAAAACAATTGGCAAGTAAAGATTGGATGAAATTAACGAAGAAATGAAGAATAAGATTGGATACAGAAAACAAGTCCTTTTAATTCCTTGAAACGACTCGCCACAATAATAACGGTGTGTTTCATCTACATGTCACGATAACCATAAACGGACCCTAAAAGCACAAGAATCAAAACGGACAAAGTAGAACTCTTATATTTTTGGAAATTCCACGATCACTTGCCCAATTCGGATTGTTCTACCACCAAAAAGCTTCGCAGAAAACGTGTATGCAAGTATTTATGCAGCTTACTCCGCACGGCATGCTTACATTTTCAGCCCCCAAATAAAAGTTTACACGCGAGGCTGAGGCACAATTCGTAAAACCATGAGTTTACAAGGATAGAAAACTTCGATGGAGGTTGCGGTGTTCCATGATAGGAAATGAGCCATGTGCTAAACAAGGTAGTTATGGTTACGTTAGGCAAGCCATATTCCAGAAACCTTCTATATGCCACAGCTGCTGCAGACGTATCCAGTCACATTACCTCGTTGTCGTCATGAAAGTCAGATGGTACCTTGTTCTTTCTCGTCATTGTAACATCCAATGCAGGAACAAGAAAACTTCCCACATGGCTTTCATACAGGTGAATGTAACCCAAGATATAAAACATCAATTATGGGGGCCTACAATGGCTCTAGGTACATCAGATTTCACCAAAAGTTCTCATAAATGATTTCTTCTATGCACAGAAGCTTCCACCTGTGCATAGGACTATTTGAAACATCATACGAATGTCCATCGCGTCTTGACTTCCCTTAGAATCCTCGCTTCCCTCGAATTGCCACTTCGTGGTGCGGTGATGATATCCAGTGCATAGTGGTTTGTGTTATTCTCATTGTATTCTATGGGAGTCTGTTGCTAACAGTTGATGTGATAGTTTATGCTATGGCGGCTTCCAGTAGATCATCATCGTATTACGATGATATGAGCAACGAGCTCTATTCTTCGAGTTTTGATGACTATCAAAATGATATCAATGAGTCTCTAGACTTTAATCATGTCTCATCTACGGACTTCTACCTCGGCCCTGAAATGTTCTTGATCTCTCAGATGCTTGGAGAACAACCATATTCATCCCAGTATGAGTTTGTCGGTATCACATCAAATTACGAATCATTTCAACGTTTGCAACCTAGCTCTGGGTCAACCAGTACTGAAGCCGATGTCCAAGAGCAGTCTTTGCCCAGATCACTTGGTGGAATTTACGGACAAATGACCACAGAGTATCGTGAAGTCTCAGAAGAATCGCTAAATCAATACCCAATCGGAGAGACGTATCGTGAAGATGATAACAGTGAAAATATAGAGTATTCCCGCAAGAAACGGAGACCTTCTCAAAATGAACAGGCACGAGCACCAAGTACACCACAATCGAATGTGTTCAAGCTAGATTTAAGGACGCCATCAATTTCCTGGGCAGGATCGCAACCCATAGCATCACAAGAATCTTTGAGCTCGGTTTTCGAGGTCAATATGAGTCAGCAACCGAAGCGCAAAGCTCGGAGTGCCTTTACACCACAAGGAAAGAAGAAAGTGGAAGCGGTGAGAAGCGTTGGTGCTTGCATTCAATGCAAATTCAGAAAACGAACTGTAAGTTGGTCTAAACACTGCGTTGGGTCTTTCAACTGACAAGCGTAGTGCGGGACAAATGAGCCTTGTATGTTATGCATTCGACGTGCTGGTAGTTTGGAGTCTGCGGCATCTTTATGTACCAGAGAATCTCCATTTGTTGAGCTCTCAATAAGTGAATGTGAGTATTCCACTTTCTTGAAAAGCCCAAGATACTGATCTCACAGTCTACTCTAGCAAACTACTCCCACTGATAACAGATTTCGATGTTGATTTCTCAAGCGTAGAAGGTCAACAGAAAACTATCAAGATTGACGGAAAGGGCCCTGCCTCTTTCCCTTTGTATCTCGATGTTATCGAGATACAATCGTCGTTCTTAGCTGAGAATTTACTAAAAGAAGTTCGTCGAATGACCAGACTTAATACTAGAGTTCCGGATCAGTTAGATATCATAACTGTTCTCAATCAGAGACTCTTCTCATCTAAAGAGCTCGAAGAATGGGTCATGAATTACACTGATGGGAACAAAATTGACAACGTTAATTCCACCTCTTTTCTGTTCGGGGTTGTGTATGTTAAGGAAAGGCTGCCTCATGTAAGTTTGATAATCCAATTCAATGCATCGATTTATTCCACATGTCACTAAATAAGAGAAGGCAGATCTAGTAGAGAATACAACCAAGCTCATAGCATTTAGCTACATGCTCTGCAAAGGATTGAGAATTACAACGCCTGCAGGCCAGCAAGATGAGGCTGCTCGATATCCCGTACTACGAGCACAGCTCGAGACAAACCTCTTTAATCTTCTCCGCCACACCGAAAAGCTTGTTTACGATGAACTTCAACGTCTAGTCTTCAAAACCTCTGGACAATTACCGAAGGACGCGATTGTTCCTGTGGCACTAGTACTCTGGTTACTTACCCGATTGCAAAGTTTGAAAGCGAGCCATATCATAAGTTTGAGTGATCAGAACAGTTCTCGTGCGTGTCCTTTCATAATATGATTTCCAATCTATTCTGCTTAAAGAGGTACTAATGTTTCAAAGGATCTTTAGGAACGTCATCAACGGCTGCATCTCGTCAAAAGCATGTTCTTAACCTCCTTATAAGCGTTTTCACCGCACTATTTAGATCATCATTCCCATTACTCATGAACTTTGAAGACAAATGCAACAGAGACCTACTGGGGGGAAATGAGGATTTAATACAACTATCTAAGAAACTGAGGAGAGATCTGATAGAGTTTAAAAGAAGCGGCCATTTAAAAGCTTCGACTTGGAACCAAGGGTTTTTGGAAGAGCAAGTGGGTAGATTGAGAGACTTATTGACAGGGTAGATCATGCGGGACTCGGGGAATAGATCCAGAAAGGACTTGTAAAGAACTGTAAGAGATTTGGGAAATTGGGTTATATTTGGGGAGGCGTTTTCTGGTTGATTCGCTGGATGGGTTTTTACAAGGTAATGAACGATTGACATCAAAAAGAATAAGATGATGACGTTACGACTGTACAAATACTAGGGATATACGGCACAGTTCAGAATTACGTGAGATACTTGGGATGATTTAGGACAGTGATATTTGCTTTTCAGGCAACACCATTCAAGGATTGATGGTTGATGCAGCCACATTCGAAACCAAGAGTCATCCAGATCTCCTTTTTGCCATTCGCATTCGATTTGCTACGCGATGTTATAATCTAAAATTCCGAAGTGCACTTAGACTTACTGTCATACCCGAAACTGAGCAGAGAACTGATCGGATGTGGGCCTCTTAAGACGAATAAGCTTATACGGCCTAAGACCGACGATGCTTCCCGAATTAAAGAGGATATCCGTCATATATACCGGCAAAGTGCCTTGCTATACTTGCGTTCAGTCGCACAGTATTGATATTCACGATTGGTGAAGAAAGATAAATCGTTTTTGTCAAAAGCACAATGGGATATTTACGAGGGTT